TCACAACTGAACAACAATGTAAAAAGTAGTTGTTATTGTTGCATGATTCTATAATGAACTAAGTTAGATTTTTTCCTATAACTTACAAGCACAAGGAGCTAAATAAAATGAATTGTTACTGGAAGATAAATCTTGTCAAGTATATCTTGTAAATGGATTTGCTCACGTCCTAATAAAAAATTCGTCCAGGCTGAACAATAGACGGCCCAGACTGAAAAAAGTTAGCCTAGACGGATTTTGTTATGGAAGAAAAGGTTTTAATTTTGTTTTAACTTGTTCTTCTATACTTGTTCTATTTTCGTCTAAGTTGTCCAGGTAAAAAAATAGAATTCTAGGAAAAATATCAAACTTTTTCCTATGCTATATACATATATATCTATCTTGCATATGTTCTATATACATAGATAAAAAATATAAAAGTAAGAAGATTGAGAATTTACCTAGGCAACTTGGACGGCTAGTCTAAAACTCTTTCTATCAGTCCAAAAACGTTACCAGCTATCTTTTTTACGTCCAGGAAATCCGTCCAAGAAAAACTGGACGCGGCCCCCCTAAAAATCTAGGGCAAACTATGTATTTTTTTCTACCACCCCAACACCGTTTCGTGCCATTTCCTCCAGCTTTTTTCAGTGATAGCGGGCTTTAACATGACATTTATCCGCATGCAAATTACATAAGCTATACTCAGAAGCAGTTGGTTTACCACATTCTAAGCAGGGAATGCATTGATGCCTTTTCCAGTGAATAGCACATCCTTCTTGTCGATAGCAAGGCCGTCCACAGACTTTTCCTTAATTTGACAAAGATAAATGCCCATCATTACTGATTACTATTTTTTGAACTTGTTAGCAATACTAATACTATTTTAGGTAAAACTAATTAATTAATATTTTCAAATTAAACTTTTTTCTTAGGATAATATATCAAAATTGTAAAATATCCTTAGCTACCATGACTACCCAAAGTGAACACAATACACCTACTGTGCCAGCATATACTGAAGGATCAGAGATTCGATGTTCTGAATTATTGCAAAACAATGTCCCTTCAGGTCCATCTGATATGCCAAGTGAAATCCCCATTAATTGGAGGAATGTGAGGAGACTTACGCACCTGAGAGCCTAGAAACTTCGAGCCAGAGCCAGAAGAAAATAACGGGGGCTTCTACCCAAAGCCGAAAGTGTTGCTGAATATTTATATAAAATCCGTGATGACAGCGTAAGACCAAGACAATTCCTCGGTATAGATACTGAGGATGGAATAGAAGTTATACTTACAGACCGTCAAGGTCATTCATTGCACGAATTTATTGATGGAGATGGTTATCGATTTTGATTTATCTAGAGAAAATTTTAATAAATTCGATCCCAAACTTACGTGTATAGAGATACGAGAATTACTTTGATCGCAAAACATTAACTATTGCCAGTAGTAGCGACAAGAAAAAATGTCTCTTCATATATCAACTTTTCAAAAATATTGCTAAAGTTGCAGTATTTACTGAGCTCGTTCGCAAAAAACTTCCGATAGATTTACAATAAAAAGATATTGTCGATAATATTGCAAATAAATGTTTATTCTCTTTGCGAATACTCGGTACTCCAAAATTTATTAAAGATACTAATAATCATGTCCGAGTGAAGAAAGCATTTTTCCCAAAAGATAGTTCTGTCTTTGATTTTATGCTTCGCCCCCCTAACGACGAGGCACCAGTTATAGATAGTCCTATTTTAAATACTTTAAAGTCGAATGTAAACATTTCTTATTCATCCACTCCAGGATTGAATATAGAAAATTCTTCCATACCCATCTCAGAGTTGATTAGAGTATGTAATAATAGTATAGAAAGTAGTGAAACTGAGCTTGAATTAGTAAAGGAGTTACTGGAACGTGCTAATATTTCAGGATATGAGGTATCGTATCTTACAGAAAATTATCCAAACACCTTTTATCTTAAACGCATAGTACCTTCGAATTGTCCATTATGTAAAACGGGAAGATAAAACCGAAATGAATACCAAATTCTTTAATCTTTTTCTAGGATTCAAAGTTCGGTCATCAGTCGAAATTAATTTTGCCCTCATTGATCCGCATAGAAAACGTTTGGTGTAATGGGGATAAAAATCTCTCTGGGTATGTTATTAACTGGTTGGCTTATCTTGTACAATATCCAGAAAAAAAAACCGGAACTGTTTTAGTATTACGATCCGGTGGGAGTGAGGAACCCCCGTCAAAAGACTTTTCGAAGTTCTTTCGGAACTTGCGCGACAAGTCCATAAGCGCAAGTATCCAAACTACAAATACATACCAGGGAGAAGAAGGGTAAAATAAGAAGGCCCTGGATATGTATGTGTTCTTTGATGGGATGGGACAATCTTGTACAGCACCACAAAGCATTAAATTGCCTAGACAGTACATAGTCGAAATTAGAATAGTGTTTATTATTATACAAATAATATTATACAAATAAATTCATTTCTGACCAGTAACCTTTAAGAAAAGACATACTATTAATGTATGATAATAACTGAGTATTTATCCGAAATGCCCAAAGTATACCAGTAAAACGTATGAAATGATTGACATATAGTACCTTTAAAACATGAAATTCGATAAAAGTCTTCTTCTCCCTAAACTAAACATGTTCGGTACTACGTCATTGTGCTCGCATAGACATTTAAGAGTTGTTCGTTGTATTCCGCTGCTAAGCGCAGTATACGCCAAAACTTGTTAAGCCACGGGTCTAGTACAGATGAGGAAGTCGGTATGTAGATAAATAGATAACCTGCATGTGAAATTGCATTTCCCTATGTGATTGCCTATTTTGTCATTACAAACGAACAATATCAATTGCCATTCTCCTATGATTGCTTATCTCTACTTATATGTTGAAACCATTACAAAATAGACGAACAATATCAATTGCTATTCTCCATATGATTGCGCCCTATCTCTAAACTCCATTCATTTGTCATTACAAAAATAGACGAATAAAGGGAAATCGATCGCCGCCCTAAGGAACAATATCTAATCTATTGTTTATGTCTGAATTCATCGTTTTGGACACAATACACGATTTGGAACTGTGAATCGTATGTTAAATCGTCTACTACGGCTCTGTTGGGAATGGACATATATAATGGCATGTAAACTCAGGTTCTGCACTCAAAGCAAACGTAAGTCATACGAACATTCGTTAACCAATTAAACCTCTCAGAATATACCCATCAGCAAATAAATGCACTTTACGTGGACTGTGATAATAAATCCTTACCTGCTAATCGGAAGTAGAACGTGCTCAATCGTAACTGTAATGAGCAGTTGAATCCACCGAACTAGGATTTCTTCAGGCCTCCCGATCGCACTCCGAAGATGGTAAAAGCCAACTGGGAGGAGTCCTTGGCATATCCAAACACAACGCAGATGCAGCAGCACAAGCTCAACCGCACAATTGACAGCAGCACAAGCTCAACGCGCGCAATTGGCAGCAGCACAAGCTCAACCGCACAATTGACAGCAGCACAAGCTCAACGCGCGCAATTGACAGCAGCACAAGCTCAAATGCAGCATCAAAACACAACGCAAATTGCAACACCACAAGCTCAAATGCAGCATCAAAACACAACGCAAATTGCAACACCACAAGCTCAAATGCAGCATCAAACACAACGCAAATTGCAACACCACAAGCTCAAATGCAGCATCAAACACAACGCAAATTGCAGCACCACAACGCAAATTGCAACACCACAAGCTCAAACAGCATCCAAGCACAACATCTCTCCTCGACTATATCTGAGAAGACAACATGCTTGAGATTAACCAAACTGAAAAGGAAGGGCCTAGAACCCTACCACCACCCTAACACATCGACAAACACATGTGCTGGTGCACTAATTCCGGAGGATAGGACTAATAGCCGATTCTATTTATAGATTGGTCTTTTTACCGTGTAGTGTTCAAATTAAGGAATAATCTCCTTTTTCTATCACAAAGTCAGAATAGCTTATCTTAATATACATGCTTGTAAATAATATTCTGATGTCTTGCAAATGGTCCCAATGGCTCAAATAAATATCAATTGTTTCATATATAATCAATTGAAACCTTTCGACCCGTGAGAGTTTTAAAATGAACATTGAATCGATGCGTTGATATAAAAAATAAAAAAGAACTGAATTCCTCATCGATCACATTTTGTGAATTAAGTTCTTGATAAAGAATGCAAATTACCCTATGGTAACTTTGCTTTTCTGATTCTATGTGAAAACAACTATTAGTAAAGTGCAATAGAATAATAATAAATGCGCAACTGTCGTTTGAGTCTTGGCTTCAAGGAAACAAAGTTTATTCGTCACGATATGCTATTAATATGCTAGCACCTGACGTCATAGCTTTGAGAATACAAAGAAACTTTTCAGATGGATTATACCGACTGAAGAAAGTCCATGCCTTCGGAACAAGATTCAAGACGTAAGGTTGAGAAAATTTCGACGCCCTGTTTAGCTGAATTAACAAGCACGTGTGTCATTTAACAAGCTGTTAAGACGTTTTCTTTATAGAAAAGAACAATACCTGGCAAAAGAGGAATTTTGCAGAAAGACAGTGTACGTACTCTGCGCTCTAAGAACTATAAAGATATAATATCAGAGGTACGTTAAGATCTTGAAGAAATAAATACTCTAAAACATGAAAAATTGACAGACGGGACCATATCACATTGAATTGGGAAGATATAAAATTCGACGGTCTTTCGATGAGCTTGTTATTGTATGTAGTATTATTATTAACTATTAATTACTATTATTATATTCTATAATCATCACACGTTAACATACAGTATACTTACCCATATGATCAAAAGTCTCGGCACATCCTAAACGCAATTCCAACTGTAAGTGAGATGCCGTGATATCTTACTTGCATATTATATTGTGTTGCTCACGTGTATTTATCTTGTTTATTATCATCGAACCATTGAACGTCTTCCAAACGCAAATAAAACAATAAATGCTACAGTTGATATCGTCGATTGTTCGCGTAAGCGCACTCAATGAACTGGGCGTGGATATGGCGTGTCTAGAATTGGTATACAACTGGTAACGTAAAACTAGCAGTTAAAAAAAGTTTACCGGCTTTCTGGTGAATTCATTAAGATTCTGACCATACCTCTCTGGCTTATTACAACTAGAATTCCTTTGATCCGAGAGGTCGAGGCAGTCTATGTATATATCTAAGGATTAATAACGGATTATTGGTAAGTGCTATCCTTATATTTTTTTGAGCTCTTGAGTCTATATCATTCTCATTCTTTTCCCTTTTTTATACACCATACGCTCATGCTGTTAATATTTGGTCAACGTTACAAATTCCAACCTCTAAAGGTAACTGGAATGCGCAATACCTGGATTAGATAACTACCGAAACCGACATTGGAATTCAAAAATTGCAACGCGTATTTGAATTCCCATGTTTTGTGGATATGTGATGATAATTGGCCGACATACTTCTGTCTCATTCTGGATTTGGGTTCATGCGCAATTATGGTAAGTTTTATTATTTAATACGTGCATATTGATGCCAATGTTCCAGATCTATAGTCTAATATTTACATAACCTTCTACAGTGACTAGTTAGAAAATGTTGTAAAAAGGTTAGCTGCCCGGTATAATTAATAGTTCGAAAAGTTCTCCAATTTGGACACGCAAATCAAAATCTTTTTGTCTTCCTGACCGGATGATGAAATTGGATCTAGGAAATTATTGGTTCAGTAATTGGAACGGAAGACGGACAGGACGTATTAAGAGAAGAAGAAGTTCGGCTTGTATGATAGTGCGCTGGGTTGATAAGTTAGATTAGAAATACGAGTTTTGGGAAGGATGTTTTGTCTAATATAGAATTTGAGCTCTACCCCGGCGTTGATAATGATGCATTATATCGGAGGAGTGGTTAATGGAAACGGGTGAAAACAAGAGGAACATAGAATGGTGATTTCTTGTCACTCTTTTCATCTGCCGACATAATACTGCACGCAACCGCTAGGAAGTGTAGATCGAAATCTTGTTGCTGTATTGGAATGAGAACTTTGCGGGTAGAGTTGAGGCGGGTCGTGGGATGGAAAGTCAATAGATTTACGGATAAGATGTGAACGGAGGCATTATTGAATATAAGAACTTTTAGTGCGGAATAGCTCTATCGTATGATGTTTCTGCGCCCAAGCATTCGCAAGCTGGAAACGATGATTTATCCAATTGAGAAATCTGAAGACGGTGATATGGTAACAAGGAGTTTCACTATCGGAATGAAACTAGAGGTGGTTCTAGTCAAATATAAGCCGATAGCTTGGCCGCTACACCAGGCATTGGGAAATATATGATGAACGGTCATAGATTGAGGATTGGAAGAGCAAGAGGAAGATTTACAAAAAACATAGAGAAAGGATTTGTATTCGTTGGATCTCATTTTTGGCGAGTAAAAATGGGTAGATAATGACGCTCTTTTTTTTATCACATACTATTAAGATAAATAATTGGTATCCATGTTTAATAAAACAATTCGTACACTTGTAGCTTTGCGCAGAAGAGAAAGATCATAAAGACAATTCTGCTCACCGATCAGCAATGTGCTGCGAGTTAAACATAATCTTTTACATTAACATCACTGCTTGAATGAGTGATTAATGTCGATGCAACAATTTTCTAAGCCGAAAATCAAGTGTATCTATTATGTACAACCGGTTAACAAGGCATATTAATATAAATTGTGCTTTCACAAACGTCGAACAATAGATTATTTGCTGTTTCTTGTTATGCCGTTATCAATGAAATTGATATGATTGGGTCAACTCAAGAGACGGATATCTGCAGTACTTCTCAAACGCCTTACAGTATCTACAAAAAATTACACTATCATGCCGCGAACGACGATATATATATAACTTTACACTCTCAAGAAGTCGCGGCGAGCGGTAAACCGTCGCCAATAAAAATAACATATTGTAGACGACATTTGCAAACAAAATAAAACGGAAAACTCACATTGTAATCACCCCAACAAATTGTGAGAACGAGGAGGCATGAACAACCGGAAAGTAAGGGTATCGTCGAGACTACGGTTCATGACATAGGCCTCAACATACTCTACCCAATTCTGAGAGAATGCAAGAGATAATTCAATGGTAAATAGTCTTGTTCCAACTTGTAGTAAATGATTCTGCGATAACTTACGTTTATTTTTTCCAGGTTAGTCGCTAATTGCGTGCGGTTTCTCTTGACAGAAAGCTCGTTATGCATTTTGCTTTGTTGATAAAGTCTTGGTAATGTTTGATTTGAATTTGTCTCTTGCTGTTATTTACAAAGGCATTATTATTATATCAATATAGGTTTCAGAAATAAGAAGCGCAGCATCGGAGTCTATGTACGGTGTTATTATGACGTTTATGATGTCATTGTGCCCCATTTTCGTCAGATAGATGTCCAACATATCCTCCATTTGCTTTATTGCTGGTCTCTATGTTTGCCGCCATTAAGCCCGGGCATCCAAAAATCACATTAATTACGCTACAATTCATATTGTCAAGTTACTCTGAAGATTACTCAACAGTGACGCTAATTAATTGACCACCAGTATTTTTGTTAAACATATCGATAATTCTAACTCTAAACCTATTTTTTAACTTACGAGCAATTGTCGAGAAATTAAAATAATGCATCCTTGCCATCGTCAACCAGTTGGTGTTCCTATCAAGAACATATAGTGGGCTTCATGTGCAGGAAGACAAAAAGGATGTTTATCTGTATTGTACGAATTGAGAATGGGTTATGGAAACATTAGGTAATGAAATCTAGCTAATCCCGACAATCTAAAACACTGGCATCAATATGCACGTATAACAATGAAAACAGAAATCATAATCATAAGGCTTACCATCACGGCAATGAGCATGAATAAGTAAGAATTCAAATTCAATAAATGCATAACGGCCAATTATCTATTCGCCGATGACGGGAAAAGCTGTTTCTTATTACCAGGGAATGAACGAAATAGCTTTGTTTATAATTAAATATAGTCTTTAAGAAACTATCCTAATAGCAACATCTTGCTAAAAATGTGATCTAAAGAACAGACTAGATGCTGTTTAGCTACTCACTACGACTCGTATTTATAACTAATTATCGTTTCAGAATTTTCGGATAAATGATGAGATTTACATTGTCCTAATATGGTCATTTCTGACTACTTAGTCCCGATGTGAGAGAGGGGATTTGGAGGAGAGAGGAACTCGACCAACAAGAGGTTTATCGGCAAGAGTAGAGGATGTATTTTAAAAGTTAAAAACGCCGTCAGGGTTAACTAATGGGGTTTCGTTATCATAGGCTTTGAAATGATTGGAGGGAACTTGTTGAGGAACGTAAGACACAGCAGTAGTAGAAGACATTTCACATTTCTTGTTTTTACGTGATTTTTGGTATCCCGTGTACAAAATAACTAATTTAGTATAGATTCCGCTGCACGTTGTGTTCAATAAAACATGAAAATCTCATTCTCGCGTCATAACCGACCGAAGACTCGAAGAGATTAATTAGCTCAATACGCAGTCATTGCCAGTATTTTCATGCCAATTACTCCACGGTACCCAACTTTGCCCTAAAAAAGCCTTTACTCTTGACAAATTAAAGTTCTGCCTACTAACATTAGTATTACTGATTTGCTAGCAGCTCTTTTGAACATTCATAGATGTATACCATACGCAACAGATTCTTTGAAGAGCGTCCAGAGAGAATCAAATTATGGTGTATCAGCCGATTGAATTCTTCGGTGATCGAGTCGGTAAAACACATTCATTACAAGCAATACTATAAAGTGAAGCCGCCGAAAGCACGGTTGGTATATTCGTTAGTTAATATCCATAGCGATATTTGAAAAAGTGATTATACAGTATTTGAATAGTAATTACGAGTAATACTTTCCAATAGTGACGGAGTCCCTTCGCCATCATCCACCCAAGCAACTTATGCCTCCTGGATCAAATCACAATCTCCAAAGTATGAGCATCAGTGTTTGCCATTCTGACACTTTGCACATAAGGCTTCTGTATGATGATCACTGCCTCCTGGCTGGAATGTCCCCTTAGGCATACATAGGTTACGCTATCAGTATTGAATCCTATCAGGGTAAGCATTTATAATAAGAACAAAGGTGTGCAATTCAGTATTTTCGTCGGGGACTAATCTGCTCTGTTGATTTGCAGGCGATAAATGCGGAATTGCTATTTATAATGCATTTTTGCCATGGATAACCAGTTGGGGTTTCATATTGAAAACTGAACTTGCAGAAAGACAATAAGTCTGGAACATTAATAGGCCCGCAAGCCGCTTTATAACAATAAAATACAACGACAAGGCGTAGTCTATCAACGCCAATGAGTTATCCTTCATTTTCGCGATCACCAGACACTCAACGTTCTCATTTCCTACTCTTTCTAACCGTATCATACACCGAGCTAGTAGCAAATATATATTGGACGATATCTATATATCCCCTTCTCTACGCATCCCCTTCCGTAAACCTCATCTAGTTCTTCCATTGAAACAATAAATCAATCTCTCCAGACTCCCTAATGCCAGTTGCATCTTCTTCGGTCCTATGTGTTGGTTTGATACCAAACTCGCAATCGTTCGGGATAGTCAATCCAATCCGAGCAATGTGTATTTACATCGTGCGAGTCCTGGAGCGTACCCTTGATCAACCGCTTTCTGGATGTGTCTGTCCGTACCTACGCCTCGCTGATAACAGAGACCAAGGTCTAATTGTGCAGCGCTGATTGTTCAATCACATTAGACTTTCTTGTCATTCATTTACGCATATTTCAGCACTAAGAGAATTTCAACCCACTAACCCAACCCTTAACTTACGTATTCTGTCCAGTTTAACAGGTATAGAATGTTTGGGGCCATCGAACGTATATAAAGAGAGTTTGCAGTCGGGATTCGGGATTGGCATACGTAGGATCTTGCCAATGTACATTGTGATTCCGTACCCTGCATCGTGAACGTAGGATCTTGCCAACGGGCATACAGAGTGCAACGGGCATACATTGTAATTCCGTTCCTTGTATTACCAACTCGTTGGGCACGGGGCCATTATTGTACCTGTATCAACTATTAGATGAACCTTTTGAGTCACCCAGATAACCAAATATTACAATCTTGAGCAGTTAACATTTTCAAACTCACTTTTTATTGCCCCGTGCGTTGTAATTCCGTTCCTTGTATTACCAACTCGTTGGGCACGGGGCCATTATTGTACCTGTATCAACTATTCGATGAAACCTTTTGAGTCACCCAGATAATAAAATATTACAATCTTGAGCAGTTAACATTTTCAAACTCACTTTTTGATATTGAAGTACCCTGTATTGTGGTAATCCCGTCCCTTGTATTGCCAACTTGGTGGGCGCGGGGCCATTATTGTACCTGTATCAACTATCCGATAAACCTTTTTGAGTCACCCAGATAATCAAATATTACAATCTTGAGCAGTTAAACATTTTCAAACTCACTTTTTGATATCGAAGTACCCTGTATTGTGGCAACGGGCATACGTTGTAATCCCGTCCCTCGTATTGCCAACCCGGTGGGCGCGGGGTTAATAGACATTATTGTGCCTGTATCCGTAAATATTCGATGAACCCTTTGAGTCGCCCAGATAATCAAATATTACAATCTTGAGCAGTTAACATTTTCAAAATTCACTTTTTCATGAGTTCTTACCGGATATTGAAAGCACTTTCTTTCAGACTTCTAACCACTCCAGTCCAGCCAAGTGCATCGAGTACGTTCAATGTTACAAGGTCAACCCTTTAAACCGAAAACCCGTTAGAATGAGCTTTTTATGAATATCCTTCGGCTTATAGAGCATCGGCGTCTGGTTGACCTACAGATTATCGAAAGAGATCCAATATAAATAATTATCACGTGTTCTACAGATCAACATATAGTATTTAGTGTAACATCAACTGGGGACGTACCACCATTAAACCTACCTTTTTAAAGGCTTTTCCGCTGGCATTGTGATTGTGATTCTTGAATATTGCTGGTTTGAGCATATTAATTCTCAGGTATATATACTTTGACGATTAGAGCGTTCTGTGTATAATAATAAATGAATATTTTTTATAGACGGGGAAATGACACGGGATTGGAACTAGCGATTATTTTCAAACAACGAACCGTAGCGCTGCCATAATGGAGATATTGATCCTATAGCATCAACATATCAGGCATATAGTGTTAACGATAAGCGTTGGGCCGATAGCTAAATCTCGTGGCTGATGAGCATTCGTTGGAATATATTTCTTCGGGAGCCTTCCGTAAGATTATATTGGTCAAGACCTAGTTTTACAGCATCTGAACAATTCACAGTCAAAACTGGTTGAACACTTTATGGTGGTGCAATTATTGTAAAAATTTTTTTTTAATTGCTGCTGCTTTATAAGTTTGATCAAACGTCTGCCAAGCATTATTAAATGAACCCACAGAGCAAATTTGAAGTGACATGAGTGAGCTTTATGCAAAGCATTTTAGTGCTGGAAAACAAATAAAGCTTTTGTGTACAAGCTTGTAATTGTGAAACCAAGCTGCTTATTTCAAAACACATCTTGAAAATATTAATCCCTGATACCAACCCTTGCATCCATCAAACAGTTAAACATTATTAAAAAAGGAACCTTGAAGTACTGCACATCTTGGAATGTAAATTTGCAACAAAATAATATATTAATATGGTTTTGAATCACTGAAGTAATAAATTAATTGTTTTGTAGAATTATGACCATAACATATATTATTAAAAAAGAATCTAAATTGCCTGGTATACTTATAATAAACCTAATTTACTGTGTTAAGTAATAATTTGACAATTGTCAAAAATCCAGTCTATCAAACATTATGAAATTTGTATGCCGATAACAATGTCATTCTGTACTTAATTGAAGAAAACCCCCCCCTTACATTTCGTTCAAAGTACATGAGCAGACATATATTCAATTGTTACAGTCAGACAAATGAGTCGTTAATATCAAGCATTCACAAATACTTTATGTGCAATCTAATTAACATTTATCATAATTGTATACCACAAGTCATGGACAAGTCATCTATAATATGTTCCATAAATGCAGTTTTTTGTAAGACAGTGTATTAGTATGTAAATTTAGAATAAATCTATTTGCCGTAATTTATAATATTAAAAGTACCATAAACCGTACCAAGTGTTTAAGTTGCGATTTTAAATAATATTAGTATTAGCTACATGTGATAGCTTCAATAAGTAACTGATATGCTAAAAAAGTAAGTATTTGGTAATGATGTGGGATGACGCTCCATTGACGTCATACGCGCTTTTCTATAAAATGTAATACAGTAGTATGCTTATGCTTATGAAATTTTTGTGTACTTTCCGGAAATCTTTTTTACTTCCACCATTTGCGTTTGTCTCTGCATGTTCCCAATTGACAGGTGTTACACTTGACAGAATAAAACTTTCTTTCCTTCTCTTTTTTTTTTTTTATTTAATTTTCCTAAATAAGTTAAACGCTAACATGAAGTACTCGAGCATTTTCGGAAATGATTGGTCAAAATTTCGAAAACCCGATTGGCGTGATAATCTGATTCTGGCGATGTCTTATAAATGAATGGCCTTACAGTTAATGTACGATGAGTGGCTGGATTCAAGTCGCAGTCCTCGTAAATCACTTTTTGTAACATGAGTATACCATTTACCTTGAACCGAAAAGAGACTTTGACATTGTCTGCGTTGCAGCCCTATTACTATCGGAACGATGAAGCGGATCTCCAACATAATTATTGATTGGCCACGTATTATCCCTATAAAGTAGCACCCTCTCATGTCAGTAGAAGATTCACCGTCAAACATGTCTTTTCCCAACTGGATGTTGTTATATACTATCAAACTTACGACAGCGACAACGCAATTGAAAATCTACTTGCGGCGACTGTTACTATCATCAGTTAACCGGAGGTGTGGGGGTTTTTTTTTCAATTCTTCATCTTCAGTAGCAGCGAATAGCGATATGGAGATTTACTAAACATCAAACTTTATGACACTTTGCTTTGTGTCCTTTGCAGACAAACATCTCCGCTTTACCGAGCACCTGTTATACGTTGACGGTGGCCAGTATTCTGACGAACAGCAGCCTCTAGCTCGGACATCAAACAAAATGTACGAGGCTACGGAGGCAAATTTTAAGAAGGATGTGGAAAGAGAAACCTGGTGGAAGAGAATGAGAGAAAGAGAGTTGGGGGGCGCACGGCCAAAGATTAGTAAGGTACACCTTTAGCGTTCAATCGTAGGTGTAGACAATAAAAGACCGCAAAACTCCAAAGCTGACGGCCGATGCTTGGCTCATGGCTCATGGTGGTGGAAAAAACATATAATTAATGTTTGTATATATTAAATTATAAATGAAAGTCTTTAAACTTAAAATATTACTATTTGTAATTTTTAAATTTTATCTTTCAAAAAATTTGATATTAATATAAACAAGCAAATGTATAATAATCATAGGTTTATAAAAGTTTCTAATAAAGCTAATATAATATTCTTAAATACTTGTTAAGATTATGGAATTTTATGAATTGATCATAAAAGAAGCGAACTATAATTATTGCGCAGAAAAGTTCCTGTATGCATCGTATCAGAGAATTAAGAGAATCACGCTAGTCTTGTAAGCTTGGTTCCTTGTGATGCTGTATTCTGCAGTCATTTACACGTCTAACACAATAAAAACGTTATGTATACTCCTGTCAAAATCAATCTAAATACGATGTAGTATGAGCGAATGTAAACTTTGCCCAGAATAAACCATCCCACGATTGTTTGCAGCACGAGTAGAGTTTAGTGAATTGTACGTGCCAGTGAACTTAAATTTGTGGTACTTGCCAAAACGGATCATTCACATGCGGTGTGCTATTTTATTTTGGCAGACATGGCTCATAATAGTATTTCTTGACATATCACCCAATCTGCATCTCACGGCACTATAGGCGAGCCAACATATAGAGAGGTAATAGTGATCCGTACAACGAATGGAAAGAAAAAGGATTAATGTGTAAAAGAGGGCGTTTATGGGTATAGAATGTTTATTAAGATGTTTCTTTCTGGACAGGATGTAATCTACCCGGCTTTTCATAATGTTAATTGTGTGCACAGGTTTTTATTGAGGTATGAGCTAGTTGATTTAACTATACGAATTGGTGGTGAATGTAGTTTCGGTTGACTACGATAGAGAATTTGTGATTATAGTTTATGAGCGCAAGCCAAATTTAGCGTCTTTTAACTATTATCTACATCGATGACTATGAATTATATTCATTCATGATTTTTGCTTTGCTAAGCAGGATAGACGTTCGAATGGACATTCTCCCATCACACTTACGAGGAGGTCAGTCCATGATAAAATATCATCACGTTGGTTATTTCGACATCGTGACGATAATGGAGAACCAATTGTTGGAAATTATGTCCATTATTGAAACCGTCGACAGGTTAGTCAAGTAACTTGTCTTAAGGCACAGCGCTTAAGAAACGTGTTGATGATTACCTCTGTTTTTCAAAATGTGTCAGTCAACGGAAGAAGTCAACTGCAGGCGGAAAGAAAACATTTATTGCCGCCGGAAGAGGACGCTTCAGAGGAGAGGTTACTCTAGTATCCATGGATACCATCTGCACGTTTTGGAAACTTTGTGAAGATCAGAACCGGCACGTTGGCGAGCTTTATATGGCTGAATGGTTGTGGTCAAAACTGAGTTTGGTGACTAGCGAAAAGTTGTTAGTCGCGGAGAAGCTATGAAAGTGTCAGTCAAAGTTCTTGCTATAACCAATCAAGGCGACGACGCCAACACGACTACGTTGCAAGAAGTATGTATACCTTCTTCCTTTCTTTCCTATCTTTTTTCTCTTGACTTACATTATCTCTGAATCGCAGCTGAATGATAATGAGGACATTTTTCGCAAGCTTTTCGTGGAATAGAGTTGACGCTTCAAAAATAAAAGTGGATGAAGAAGGATCCCGAGCCTAAACGACTCTTGAATATGGAAGAATGGGCAAGAGTTTTGGCCTATCAAGACTTGATTCGACGGGTGAATTGGCTTTCGTGAGTCGCCGTGCCTAGTCGTCCTTCTACCCAGACGACAATAATGCCTGGTGTCTATGACTAGAAGCAAGAAATCATACAAGAGGATAGATAGGATGGAAAACTGATTTTCTGGAATCGGCTTCGAAACACGGTCGTCGCAGCTGATTTGTTTACGGTCAATGTTGACACATTACTGATTAAACAACAACAACAAAACGACAAACAACAACAACAGCAAGAAGAAGAAGAAGCGACAGCAAATACGTCATTTATAATGGGCCTGCCGTATAATCGTCACACTTTTTCCGACAACAGAGGTACTTCATTCGATATTTGGTGCTATGCATTATAGTTCGACTTGTATGATAACCTTTCTTTCAATTAGCTGAAGGAATACGCAGCAGTACTTGAAGCAAGTTCTCAAAAATTGGCAATCAAAACTGAAACCTTTGGGGTTACAAGTCGGATTCCAGTGGCAAGCAGTTTGCGAAGGCTGGACCAGCAGCAATGGTGATTACGATAAGACTATCATGCGAAGGACGGATCGGCATATTACTACCTAGTCTTCAATGCAGTCTTAAAGACCTTGTGGGAAATCAGAACCGGCAAGCTTTATACGACTGGATGGTTTCGGTCAAAGCTGAGTTTGATGACAAGCAAAAAAGTTGTTAGTCGCGGAAAAGCTATGAAAGTATCAGTCAAGCTTCTTGATGTAACAAATCAAGACGACGCCAACAAGATCATGTCGCAAGAAGTATGTATACAACTGCCATCTTCTTTTCTTCCTCTCTTTTCTCTCTTTTCCTCTTGACTCTGAATCGCAGCTGAATGATAATGCCGAAATTTGTGAGCTTCAGCAAGCATTTTCGTGGAGTAGGGTTGACGCTTCAAAAATGAAGAAGGATCCCGACTCTGGACGACAATGCCTGGAATATGATAAAATCATACAAGGAATGGACATAATAGAAACTGGCATGGATACCATTGTCCTCCTGGTACTTCAAACACGATCGTCGCTGATAGTGAAGCTACCTTATTTGACAAAAAGCTCGAATTTTCGTTTAGCGAAAATGGCTATTGAAATCCACAAATTACTCAGTAAGAAGAATCGTCTAGCCATCTCTACTATAAAACTTTTACTTATGGACAACAATCCCACGGAAAAAAGTCAGTGAGGCGTCACACTTTTTCCAAGAATACCTGACAATAGTGATGGAAAGAGGTACTTTATTTGATATTTGGTGCTGTGCATTATGGTTCGACATGTATGATAACCTTTCTTTCAATTAGCTGAAGCAAGCACTTGAAGCAAGCTCTCAAAAATCAATATAAACTGGCAATCAAAACTGAAACCTTGGGGGGTTTTCTAAGTCGGATTCCAGTGAAAAGTAGTTTCTGGCGTACTATGAATGCGCGAAGGCTGGACCGGTGGCAATGTGCGAGGACGGATCAGCATATTACTACCTAGTCTTCAATGCACGTCTTGAAGACCTTGCGGGAAATCAGAACCGGCAAGTTTGACAAGCTGAATGGTTTCGGTCAAAGCTGGGAGCGAAAGTTGTTAGTTGCGGAAAAGCTTGCTTGGTAGGTGCTTGGTGTAACCATCAAGACTATGTATGCATTATCTCAGTATTTTCGTGGAATATATTATTAATAGTTATGACCCCTGAAATATTCGGTCTAACTACGCCACAACTGCGGCTTTTCCGCAGAAATTGGTTTCATGTCACCAGACCAAGACCGGAAGTTGATAAAAACCCTCCCTCCCCTTCCCCTCCCTCCTATTTAAAAACTATTTTGACAACAAATCTATATACAAATATGACTACTATATGTAGATTTTATTTGGAAGGCCGCTGTAATTTTGGCACAAAATGCAAGTTCGCACATAGACAGCCGAATCAATCAGAATTGAATAATCGTATTGGCTGGAGTAGTAGTAAGTCTTACAACAAAAGAAGATGATCTTGTAGTCTCGACTAGGATGCACGTTTATTAATTCCTTCGCCTGTCTTCCCCCCCGTATACTAACAATAGAATACAATCAGCAATCACAAGCATATGAGTAAGTTTCGAGGCGGTGGCTATTCTTCTGGAGACATTTCTGCCTGAAGTGATTATCCGCCTGTTGGCGTTACTACTTCCAATACAACAATTTTTTTTTAATTTAATTATTTATATGATAACTTTATCCTGAATAATCTTTTACTAATGATAATAATCCCAATTCTACCCATCCAATCCCATTCTAACTCCATTTCCTGATTATCTCATTCTCTCGGGCTATTCCGTCCAATTTTATTTAAATTTGGTTTACTTTCACCTCTTTTGTTTCCTCTTTTGACGTTCCCATTTATTTGAATCACTAATATCATAATAGAGAAAAATCCGTAAGGATTGATCTAACAAAAGAACTGCCAAAATGGCCATACACAGTATATGCTCCAGCAAAAGAGGAGCCGAATTTAATAGAAGGGACTGATGTCTCACCAGAAGAGTTGAGATTTGAGTTTTTTAAGTTAAAAGATTCCTGGATGTACGGTGGAGACATGCAATATGTAAGTAGTTGATGGATGAATTATAGCCTTTGAGGGGATTGGGGGTGGAATAGTTATTCGCTGGTTGTTGGTGAGGTTTTATTTGCTGCAAATTTTGATCTTATTTCACTCGATTTCTAGAACCAGGGTGTTTCACAGCTCAACAGCGTAATGAAGCAAAAGATAGACGATGTGTTAAAAGACTTACGAAACTCTCTACGAACATATCAGAAGATGAGACGACAGTCGGGTAATTCATCAAACACTTTTGGTAACAGAACACAATCCAGGAATACAAGCCAACAGCCGCCGAACACATTCAGGTCCAATGGTGGACTTGGTCAGCCGCAACAGAATGGGGCGTTTGTCCAACAACGACTCGGAGGCAGTGGATTCGATCGGCAACAACAAGGTGGATTTGGAAGTAGCAGATTTAGCCAGCAGAATAACTATGGAGGATTCGGCCAGCAACAACCGTCACAACCGAGTCCGTTTGGACAGCAACCGGGACCAGGATTCGGGGCTACTCAGCCGAATGGAGGGTATTATCAACAACAACCCCAACAAACTGAACTCGGTCTCGGAACTCTACAGCAACCACCACAGCAGAGTAATACATTCGGTACATTTTCCGTTGTGGGGAATCCGCCAGTTCCAACTTTTGGTCATACTGGCATTGGAAGCGCACCGAATATTCAGCAGCAACATCCATTAGGACAATCAATACAATATCCCTTTGGAGCTCAGCAACAACCGAGTCTATTTCGCGGTGGTATCCAAGATGCAAGACCGGATATAGATAGTAGCATGGTTGGGATGTCCGAGTATTTTACTGGACAGGTGCCAACAAGTCCACCTACTAATCATTATTGAATTGGAAAGGATGGATCTATGTATGAAAGTTGATAATATAGAATCTAGATTGAGATGAATTTCCTGTGTTCACATATATATATATATTTACTTGGTATATGTAAAAAATTAAATAGTCAGAGAATAAACAATGAGAGTTATCTCACTAATAGTGATCATTAGTACAGTTGTTGAAAGATATCTATCTTTAATTGGGAGTGGTGTTATGACGATTTAATTGTGGCTGGTTTTTAAGCGGAATCAAAAGGACGTGGATAATACGATGCCGTATCCTTGCCTCAAATAGGTTGTCCCGTCAGAATTTGGAAGGAGTTCGGAACAATTTATTATGCAGACTGGCTTGATGTGTCTTTCAAGAAAGTCTATAATGTCGAGTCTGGTAAAAAGGCAGGGGATTTGGAAATTTATGAGGTCTTTCTCAAAGTTTTTCCCGAGTGCGATCAATCCGAAGAAAAACTTACATGTGAGGCGATTATTTAAATCACGACGATATATGACTTTAACCGACACCATCCTTGATAACAAGTTGTTCTTTTGCTTCTGTCTTTTTCTTATTTAGCGAAGGAAGGGCATCATCGTTGTCCCAATATGGCTGCTGCTGCAGAAATTTACACTTTTGCCACAGACAATGGTTTTTGTTCCACTGCGGGAGATTTTTCCGAATGAATACATTTGACGTTAATGTGATTGGAAGGAAGGTGGGACGGCTGGTAATACTGGTTACGATGCGAAATACAACGGATTCATCGACAATTTAGAATCGATGGACAATAGTTGATCTTCTATAAGCTAGCTTCGCGGGGGAGGTTAGTCGAAATATAGAACTGTAGCTGCTCATACTTACCTAAGAACGTTGAATTATATCTAGGCGCATCATGCAGTTCCTAATTCTAATAATGGTACGCCAAACGAGTCAACGGCGAATTTCCCGCGGCAGAGATTGCTCACTTGAATTTCATTTCAGATGAGGCATGTCAGGATGATGGGGTAATTCGTGGTGGTAATTGTATCAAGACCCAACATTGACCTGTATATTTCTGTTGATTAACGTAATATTTGTAGTCGTTGTATCGACCAATGCTTTTCATCGACAGGAAAACCATAATGCAATCGGATATACTGTTCTACTGACGATTAGAATAGACTTGAACATCTGGTTCACGATATTACGAGTTAAGCTCAGACTTTACTATAATTAAGGGGTACATAATGTGCGCAGCATCATATTATTTTCCGGATATACATTTTCAAACTACATTAATAGAAAACGATTTGTATAACGAAAATCAGACGTTTATGTGTCAATACAAACAACACACAACAAGTTGTCATTAAAATTTATTCTAGTTGGGTTCCCATAATCCAGAGTAAGAGGTTCGAAGCCCTTGCCATCCGGCGGATTACAAGTTCCATGTGTTTGAGGCTTTGCCATCATGACTTGTACACGCTGTGGCGAGCCTAATTTGGCATTTGGTCCTGAGATCAAAGAATTCATTAGGATTCGTAACAGGTTGAACGAGTGTTAAATATATAGTTACACCTACGATTGAACTCTAAAGGTGTATAACCAATCTTCCATGGCTGTTCATTGAACGTTCGAGTAAATGGTTAGCGTAAAAAAAATTTTTTTGACTTGCATAACTATACATGATAATATACATGATACCCGCATAATAGGGATGATGGCGAGGACCCTATGGATAGACATATGAAAAAGATAGTAGACATAGCTTTGGACATATGAGAAATAGTAGACATAGCTTACCGCAATGGCTCGATGCCCCAGTAACAAAAAACTGCGAGTCTCTCAGCCCTTTGAGCAAAAATTATTTAAAACATAGATTGGGTAGCATACAATGTACTTATGACATGTGGGAAATAAATATTCCCATACTTGGTGTTACTCGTTCGACCAATGATTTTGTTTTGAGACTAGTTCATCGCACCCTGTGCTTGCTTTCTGTTTTAAATGTAGTGACTATACAGTATATTGCGCCATAAGACAGACCATGGCCCCTCAAAATAAACGAGGAGGGCCTCACCACACCTGCAGCCATACCACCATATTAATATCAGGGCTGAGCCAAACGTTTATATCGTAGCACCCTATGTAATAGAGACGTTGTAGCTATTGTTCGTTGTCAAATACTCTATAACTATTACTCCCATTTATAGTAAATAATGTAAAATTAACATAACTGAATGCTATTAATTAATATTAATTAATAATGTATTAATATGCCGATTATGATGGGGAATATCGGCAGACAAAGACTTCGTGAGAATCAACTTTTTCGGATTCTAATATAATCACACCTACTGCCCCATGATTGATTTTCACGATAGTCGGCAGTTTAATGTATTCAATGGTATACTCAATCAACATTCTCCCGGTGATATTTCAAGGATTATAAGACAGTGTAACAACAATAATAAGGCGTTTATAAGACTCATGCATTATTAAAATAAAATACTGCATTAGTATATATTATAAAATGGACAACACCACTCTTTTTACATATCACATTGATTTCTACTGATAAGCCAAAAGTAAAAATATAGGCGATATAATAATTTATTCAAATGTGATGTTTATATGGATACTTATTTTACCGACCTATAAACCAAAAGGGCATGTAATGAGCAATGGAGGTTATGAAATCCTCTCTATGTATACAAACATTTGATCGCATAGCGATCCGAAATAGGGAACGAACTTGGTTTTGTTGCATATTAATACTAAATTTTGTTAACCTGTTAAGCAATATTAACTACATTATCATGAAGCAATAACGGATATGACAAGCATTGTTTTAGATGGCACAAACGTCGTTTATGGTTATATAACATGTCCAACAGGTATGCTCGACAATAAGTTGTAATTACTGAAGCTCGACACACATGTAACGGATCCAAAAGAATGTAATACGCACATTCAACGTATGATATACCCAGTCTGATATGAACAGTCATTTAACCCATTCGAGAAATTCGCAAGTAATTGAATGGCTTATCGTTATCCTCGAATTTTTACCCAACCTAAATTTTCTAAAAAATTATATGTTACATGACATGACAAGTTTGTTATTATAGTAACGATCATCAGTTGTATATATTTACTTTATTGTTTATTATGCAGGATATAATACATGTGATCAAAAGACTGCAATACATACTGTATATTAGTATAAACCTGTATGTATTCAGAAGGACATGGCTTGTTTATAGCAAAGGCGTACTCAACTAGTGGCAACTCAACATCGGATTAATAGTTAGATACTAGAACACTGTTCCTAACACATATCATAATGTTCATCGAGCGTTTGTCCAAGAAGTGATTTTACGATATCATAATAGAGTTTCTTTCTCCGTTCTATGGGCGTATGATAAACAACAGCTGATACGCTCGTGCATATACTTTTTGCTGTTCTGCGAGTTGTTTCTTTTTTGCGATTTTGGGGCACACCCCATTCATACCAGAAATGGATATATATGGATGCATTCTCAGAACATTTGTGAACACAAAAGCTTGATAGATGCAACAGATAATACATATGCTCATGGACTAACAAGTCCTGATAATGATTTACGTATAAAATACGTATGTATGATTACATATTCCAAATAATAAAATGAGTAAAGAATTAAAAAAATTTTCCGACGAAGAATTATTATCAGAATTATTTTAACCTGTCAAAACTTTGGATATATCAAACATTAACGATATCAAGTATGTCTCATAATATTTATAATATACAGTTATATTTAATATCGTCATCATGCATAGAAATAGACCCCGTTTATTCGTCAACGATTAGGTAAACTTGCGTAAGCCATTGATTACGGTATTTATCACATTCTCATACTCAAACTTTGCCAAAAACGTCCTGAATGTCAGCTCACTATCAGTAAATCAGTCAAGGTGGAAATTTACGATACACAGTTGGATGGCTTGTTGTAATCACGGAACAATACTGTTTTTGATTTTTGCAATTCAATAAGTTCTGAATTAAAAGCACTTTGTTCATTCTCAAGTGACCCTTGCATTGAATGGTCCATGTACCTTATTATTATGACAAAAATGGATATTACTATAGGAGTAGTCTTTAGTTACAAGCACGTGTTTATAAAGTCACCGGACTATGTGAATTGCCTCTGAACAGAACAAAGCCAGATAATGGATTAGACATGCATACGCGTTATCTGGCATACGTTTGTTTCCAATTTGACCAAGTACCCAACATAAATTTAATATATAATTTAGAATACAGTACTTTATATCAACATATTACAAGAATGGAATAATAAACCTGTTTTCTGTCAAGAATTTTTTGCTTATCTATTGGTTCGGAATGAGAAACTTACAATCATTAATCGTTTGTATTCTTTGTAGAACTAGTCTTATAATTTCGGAACACCCTTTAATAAACAAACGAACAGGTTCGACTTTGTTTATCTTTTTGTTATTATCTAAAACGGCAACTGACTGTTGATAGAGAAGATGCGTGATACAGCACAGAATGTCCTACAACAATTGCATTTCATTGCTTGTGTATTAACCTTTTTCCGTAATTTTTTCAATGAACAAACGAACGGGTTCGACTCGTTCATCTTTCTACAACGCCAACTGACTGTTTATAGAGAAGATGCGTGATACAGCACAGAATGTTCTACAACAATTGCGTTTCATTGCTTGTGTACTAACCTTTTTCCGTAAATTTTTCAATGAACAAATAAACAGGTTTGACTCGTTCATCTTTCTACAACGCCAACTTGATAAAGAATGCGTGATACAGCATAGAATGTTCTACAACAATTGCGTTCCATTGTTTGTGTATTTCCCTTTTTCCGTAAAATTTTCAACGAACAGATAAACAGGTTTGACTCCTTCATCTTTCTACAACAACTGATTGTTGATAAAGAATGCGTGATACAACACGTAATGTTCTACAACAACAATTACGCGCGCGTTTGTATGTTCAAAATTACAATATATGACATTAAAGTGGCTGTATGCCTAGTAACATTTGGCCCATTCATAAATAGTATAATGTCTTCTCTTGCAGTAAATACTAGTTGGAGAGAGACATTTCGCCAGAATCCTACGGTTATATAAAGTACCCATTTACAGTCTTTCGAAAATCATGTCTCTATCAAAACTTCACACATAACAACTGTTACATACAAAAATCCAAAGTTTCATCCGGTTTAAAAGTCATAAAACTGGAATAATAAAATTCTTTTTAAAAAAACTTAACAAAAGCGTGGCAGACAAGATTGTCACAATTAATTTTTTGTAAAATAAAACGGAGCGGCCCTCCCAAATGAAAATAGCGACAGCTACTACCCTGCCGCTCCAACAATCTTGGATTTTGTCGGGCCTGTCAGAAATTATGCCGGGCACATCCAACGTCTACCACTGCAAGTCTGCCATTACAACATCTGCCCGGCCACCTACCATCGCCAACGCCTGTTCTCCTCCTTCACTTTGCTCTCAGGCCACTCGAATAGTGGCATTTTTCTCTTTTTTTTTTTTTTTACATTTTTAAAATGTTTTTTTAAATAAACATGTATTTAACGTCTGGTTTTAGTCGTATTTAACGGCCAAACTGGACGGCGCACTTGATAGTTGAGGAAGGCTTAAAAACAAAGTCCACACAAACATTCCACACGTATTACATAGCATACACTGATTAATATTTAATAACCAACAAAATAAACCATCCCTTGAAATCCCTTTTACCGTTTTACCCGTAAAAAAAGGAAAGTGAAGAGCAGCCGCCCCACACGATATTATGGTATTCTTGAATAATCTTCCGATTTGGCCAACAAAAGAAAAAATTTTTTTGTCTAATATTCAAATCAAGCAATCGCCGGCTTGAAAACATGTATTTAACGTCTGGTTTTGGTCCGACTAGACGACACGTTTGATAGTGGGGGGGGGGGGTATTTGCAAGCATACTCTTTTTATATTAATATGGAACAAAAATTCATTTTCAAAATGTATAAATATTAATAGTAGCGAAGGTCCCTTGATAGTGGGGGGAAAGTTAATTGCAAGCATACTTTTTTATATAATAAAAGCTACAATATCAAAAAATAAAATAAAATAAAATAAAATATCGCCGCTTTGTCAATAACAGGATGATGACATACAAATCTGTTCGCTTTCGTATATCAAACATCAATACATATTAGCTACCCCAACTCTAAATCGTTAGTTTATACGTACCGTAATTCACTATTATAACATAGTCTGTCCAGCTCGAGTCTGGATCGTTTGGTGCCTGAATCGCGAGTGTGTAATTATAGAGATTGGCAGTCGGGTGTATGATAAATATAATTATTAATTAATATAAACATTATCAACATATTTAATAAAATGTTAACAACAGTTAACTGGTATCGATAATTTCAAATTCATTTTTCTTACCCTCAACGTCTGGATTGATTGCTACAGCATTCAGCACGATTATAGATTTAGGGTTTGCCTCAGAACCTTCAAACGAACCAACATCTTTTCCAACGCTACAATAAAGAATACGAGCAGAGTTGTGAACTTTAGGTATTATGGTCATGAATAGTATGGTTTATTGAATTTCCTATAACACTTCTACTCTCTTATCCTTCTGAATAGTACTATACATAAGGAAAATTAGTACATTCCATATTTGGAAATAATTATTACAGATATTAGAACTATGAATGATTTCGTTTACTTACAGTCGCGGTGAGGATGAAACGCTCATTCCGTTCAAGACTATTATCACGTGTTCTACAGATCAGCTTTAATTGCTATTGATGAAAAATTCTTTGATCTGGAAAATACAATTGCTTGGATTAAAAATACATGAATCATTCGTTATTTACTTGACTAATTGACTTTTATAGCCACGTTGCTTGGGCTGGTATGCATGACTGATGGGCTTATAAGTGGAGAACTGGTACGAAACCCCAGATGTTTTAACACAATTCTATTGTTACCGATAGAACTTGATTATACTTTGTGTTCAGGTAGCAAGAGCACGAATGCTCCGGTAATAATCTTTTACGTTATCTTTATGCAATATTAATATGGGATCACATACTAAAAACGAGCTTTCGGTTTTGTGAATTAGAATTATCATTTGTATATTTCTTCCGAAAGAGTTATATAGGTGATAATTCACACAAAGATTATTTGCAATTCACGATCAGATGATGGTTGGTTTTTGGTTTTTAGTGTTTTTTTTTATAATTCCATTTATGTTTTGGATGTGAAATGGAATTCTAACATGCATGCCACATATCTTCCATTAGCTTTCAACGTCATCGTGAGTGTGACATTTTTCAACATTAATCGTTCAAAACCTGTGAGTATGACCTGCACCTGTCATTGTTCCTCCACAAATCGTCACGAGTAATTCTCATTTATCTTTTCTAATCAGGGCTACAAACCTCAAGATATGGGCAAACAGCCCTCAAATTATCCGCCGAAGTATCAACATGTGGCAAATTCTGCAGCCTGTAATCGTTTGTACTGCAACAGATGGCCAAACAGTAACACAAGCAACATTGGCTTCTGGTATATTTATCACAATATCCGCATATATAGGAATGTCCTTATTCTAAGTTCAATGATCGTTGTCACGATCTTTGTTAGGGTTAATATTATTGAACGGAGGTATGTATTTATAATTATTGGTTTTTGCGGGAATGACGCACTTCTTCGAATACACTCAGCTTATATTGTAGCT